GTCCAGCTGTGGCGATGAGGATAGCTGGTGAGCGCAACAGAGAGCACCAAAACTCGATCGTGGTTCGAGGCGGCTGGGGGGTCTGAACTGGTTGGGATCCCAAAAAATCTCAGGTCAGAAATGAAAATGAAACCAAATCCGCTCAAAATGGGTCCCTGGATCCCTCACGAGGTCCATCTAATTCAATTTTTCGCCCTCGATCCGTGTGTGACGGCGCCGGGGCCCGAAACCAGACTCCCGAGGCTAAAAAATACAAAAGACCTCCGAAGACCTCCCAAAAACGACGGCGCCGGCGCCGGCCACTCCTGCGCGCAGACGGCGCAGGGCCACGTGCAGAAGGAGACAACGAAAGCCTCCCCAACGGCGACGCCGATCCCCGCCGAGGCGTCCCAAATTACACCAGGGAGCAACCCCAATATTAGTGGATGGTTTTCGCTGAGGAGATCGACCAGGAACCCGGGAGCCCAGGAATCCAGAACCCACAGAAATCGGCCCGGAACCAATAACTGGGAACCCGGGAACCTGGCAATCCAGCCTGTTGCCAAAATCAGCGGGAAACTTTCGGCTAATCTTTCAACTTCCGCTGGGACCCCTGCAGTGCAAGCGCTGATTGGGGAAAGACCGCCAGACCCCCCTCATCGCGCCTGGGCAGCTTGCCTTTTTTCGCCATCGGTGGCCTACGCGCGATGCATAGGCTACTCTTGGCCGATGTTTGCCTCCATCTTCGTGCCTCCCCCTCCTCGTCTTCTCCCGCAAGCCCTGCGTCGAATCATGAAGAAATCACGACGGACGTTGTCTTGCTGTGTGCAGCCTCTGGGGGCCCGTACCGTGCCCTGGGGCCGAACAACAAACGGCTCGGGGTGCAAAAAAAAAGGCCCTGGGGAAAGGGCAGGGTCTTTCGGGCCGGGCGACAGGGGGGGATATCAAAGGGGGGGTTTGAGAATCACCTCACGTAGCTGACTTTCCCAGCACCTCCCAGCGCCGGGGGCGGCCATGTATCGAGGAATGGGCCCCTCGGTGGGGACGGAACCACGCTGCACGCAGCAGATTTCGCGCCCCCCCCTTTCCCTATCCCCCCCTTTCGTCCGGCCCGAGTTTTCCAGGGGCCGTGCATCGGCAAAAATCAGGACGCCGCATGTCTGGGCCCCGAGCTCTTTTCTGACCGATCTTCCCAGCCGCCGCTCGAGAATCAGGGAGGACTCGGGGGGTCAGGCTGACCTCAAGTCGGGCGTGTCCCTCTACAGGAGGAATATTCAAAAAAATAGTAAGAAAATAGTCTGGGGACGATGTTTTGAATGTTTGTTTTTCCCATTTCGGTGTATTGTGTTTACTATGTTTTACTTTTATCCAGAATCCTTCTGTAGGAGGACAAGCCCGACTTACGACTGACCCCCCGAATCCTCCCGAACATCCTCGAGAGGCCCCCCCCCCCTCGAGACCAGACGACGCCGACGGCGACGGGCCATCTCTGCGCGCCAGCGGCCCTGGGCGAGGTTGGCCTCTGGCGCGTGGCTTGCGGGGGTTCGCGGAGGGGCCAAGCCCAAGCGCGCGGGGCACACCTGACCACCACATCGCAGCCGGCGATCGGGGGACACGAGCCCAGGCATGATGGGCCTGTTTTCCACCACCACTACCATAAGTTGGAGGGAGGAAGGAGGCGGAGGACGATCGTCCTCCTCCTCCTCCTCCTCCTCTTCGTCCTCCTCCTCCTCCTCGGGGGGGAGGAGGAAGGAGGACGAAGAGGAGGAAGAGGAGGAGGAGGAGGAGGAGAAAGAGGACCCCTTCCCCCTCCAACTTGTGGTGGTGGTGGTGTTGGAAAACAAGCCCATGTGACGTCCTGATTGTTCAGTACGGCGTCCCCAGAAGTCCGGACCCTTTCCCCGGGGCGGGTTTTCACCCTTAATCGTTTTTTGACGGTCCCAGGGCCCGGCGAGGGCCCCCGGCCGAAAACAGCGAAAAACTTGCCGTCCTGATTTTTTCACGACGCGATCATGTCTGGGAGTGGACCCGCACCAAAGATCACTCCTGCGAAAGGCTAGAGTGCCGACGCTCCAACCTAAAAAATGGAATCGGCGGGATTTTGTGGCAGTTTTTTTGGCCTCTGGGGCACTCGCGCCGGGTCTCGGAAAAGCGTCAACAAAAACGACTAAGGACGAAAAACTGGCCCTGGGGAAGGGGTCTGGACCTACGGGGCCCATGCCTCGAAAAAGCTGGAGCAGCCGGATACCCGGGACAGGGCGAGGATAAAGTCGGGTGAGGATCGGTACTTAGAATATCTGGGATCCAGCGGCTCTGGAAGATGCTTCGGGTCCCACACACGCAAGATGTCGGCGGCGGCGGACGGGCCGACCAGATCGACAACGGCCCGACTCGGCGATCCCGAAGGGTACACAGTCGCACCTAGGACAGAAGAACATCATTCAAGAACAGGAGACCCTCCGCCAGCCAAAACGCGCAGAACAGCTAAGGTTGCCCTCCCCAGAATGCACGAGAACGTCCCACGAACACATATTACATCAGGATGCACTCCCAGAACCGACAATGATGTTATACCTCGGTCCAACTACAACTTGCAAACTGGTACACCCAGGGCCCCCCTGGTTAGAGGCCTCCTAGATGGAGTCGGAGTAGAAGGGGTCGGAAAATCGCGCCGCATCGGCGATGCATCGGCGATGCATCGTCGACGTCGGCGATGCATCGGCGACGTCGGTGTGAAACAATTCGGGCTCCCTATCGAGCCGCAACGGCGATGCGTCGTCGATGCGGCGCGATCCTCCGACCCCACCTGCTCAGACCCCATCTGGAAGGCCTAGAACCGTCGCCTCACCAACATACGAATATCGCAGGCCTAGAGGTCGACACCAACACCAATATCGTCGGTGTGCCTCTCTCTACCAAGCGAAGAAGCTACCGATCTCGGTGACGGTGGTAATATTCTGGCTTCCAAGATGACCGGAGTATTACCACCAACACCGAAATCTGGGATCATCTTTCCCCTGTGGAGGCAGCCCCCCTGTGTTGGTGCTGGTGTCCATTTCCAAGCCTCCAACAATGCTACGTGTGCGCCGCCCCCCCCAGTGGGCAACGCGCGCTCCGAGGAGTGGCGGGCGCTTCCTGGCCACTCCGCTCGGGAAGCGTTCTACTACGAGAGGGGCATACCGGATGTTCGGGTCGGGCGCGCGCCTCCAAGGAGGCCAGATAGTACTAATATTCAATCGGGCGCGTCCCCCTTCAGGAGGATTTTGAACGAAGAATGCAAGCTATAAAAAACGACCTGAAGCATATTCACAGATAGTCAACAAATCGTCCCCGCACTACCTTTTTTGACTATTTTTTTGGGTGTGCCTCCTGTGGAGGGACACGCCCAACTCAATACCAGTACGTCTCTGTGCGTCCCATCGAGTGGTCCGAGAAGCACGGTCGCGCGGGCGCCGCCTGCCCGACGTCGGCGGCGCCGGGGGGGGGAGGAGGAGGAGGAGGAGGAGGAGGAGGAGGAGGAGGAGGAGGGAGGAGGAGGGAGGAGGAGGAGGAGGAGGAGGAAGGGGAGGGAGGAGGAGGAGGAGGAGGAGGGGGGAGGAGGGAGGAGGAGTGCACGCGTGCGTCACGAGGACGCACGCGTGCACTCCTCCTCCCTCCTCCCTCCTCCTCCTCCTCCTCCTCCTCCTCCTCCTCCTCTCTCCTCCTCCTCCTCCTCCTCCTCCTCCTCCTCCTCCTCTCCTCCTCCTCCTCCTCCTCCTCCTCCCCTCTCCTCCTCCTCCTCCTCCTCCTCCTCCTCCTCCTCCTCCTCCTCCCAAAGATGGGGCCCCACGCGAAGCCGACATAGCGACCTTACGCGGTGGCTTTCGCGGGCCGCCAGCGCGGCACGCTTCACTGGAGACGAGGGCGCTCACGCGCGAGCTTACGCGAGCAGCTCACGAGCCAACGTCGGCGAAGACAACCCCGGCTGTTTTGCGTCGCTCACGTGGGTTTCGAGAGTGCGCCCTGCGCAAGCGCTCGAAATTACCACGAGGCTGGTCTCGCGGAACTGGGGGGGCGTGCTCATGTGCGTGGTGGGGCGCGTGCGTCCTTCGCGCGCTCCCTGATCCTGGCGTGCGGGCGGAGACCTCGATAGCGTTCTCCACCGCGCCCCGAGGAGGCCCGAGCAGGACAGTGTCGTGCAGGCCCCGACGGTGCCGATCGCAAATCACAGCCTGGCGTAACCATACCACCCTTGTAGCAACCGACCGACAGCGAGACCAAACGCGTCCGAGGTCCCAGGGGGCCCCGCTGCCAGACCGCGCCGCGCCGCACGCGCACGCAGAGGACACCGCCGCGCGCAAACGCCCACGTCGACGGGCAGGCCGACCGGACGGACAAGGACCCAGCACATGGGAACAACAAAAGCTGCGTAAGCATAAACTCTACTCTCGGAGCTTCGCTCGGACTCCCTGGATAGGCGCTGGGCCCCCCCCTGGCGGCGCCTCCAGCTCAGCCCCCGGAGGGCTCCGCGCGCCAGGGAGCAAGCAGTGGCGAAGCGTCCCAGCTCGCCCATAAGCCTAACAAAGGATGTTCTCAGAACCTGTTGCGGTCTGCGCGAAATGTTCTTAGCACATTTCTGGCCGGGTCCGTCTTGCCTAAGCACATCGGGCTACTGCTGAAGAAGATTGCTGTACTTAGAACACCTCTGGGCTCTAAGTGAGAGCCATCCGTGGTAGGCCTACAGGAATGCCGGGACGGTCGGTCCCTGAAGGGGCCCCAGGACACTCAAGTAAATACACACAAATAAAAATACCCCCCCTATTTTCCTGTATTTTCTGGGTTTCTGTCTATTCCCCCCCACTTCCCATATCTTCGCACATTGTCTGGGCGTCGACGAACAATTGCGTCTCTGTGTGTGTTTTTCCCCCTCTTGAGCCCCTGCTCCAAGGGGAGGAGGGGGGCCCCAGCGCGATCCAGGAAGCTCGCGCGGAGCTCCGAGGGCCCGCCCCCGGCGAGCGGGGCGGGCGCGGGGGCCCCGCTGCCTGACCAGGCCGCGTCGCACACGCAGCGGCCCCCCCGGCACTCGCCGTTGAGGGAGCAGCCCAGGTCGTCCTCGCACGCGCCCGCCTGGTCGCCGCCTCGGCGGTAGCGCGCGCCGCCGCGCTCGGCGGGGGGCCGGTCGGTCGCCGGGAGGCTGGACGCTGCCGGGCCTCTGGGCGAGCCTCCATGGGGGCCTCCGTGGGGGCCTCCGCGGCCCTGGAGGACTGCCTGGCCTGGCCTGGCCTGGCCTGGCCTCGCCGCGCCCCTCGTGGGCCTCCCGGTGGGCTATCCCTGGCCACGGGTGGACGCAGCTCGCGAAACTGGCCAGGACGGTTTCTTCGGGAGGGCTCCTGGGACCGACGCGGAGCGAGAAGTGCTGGACAGACCCAGATGTCTGGCGTGATGAGACCACGGCGGCTGACTTTCGGAGCTTGGGTCTCAAAAGGCCTGGTTTCAGGCCTCAGGGCCGTCGGAACAAGTGCCCGCGTCGAAGATGACGACGTCGGCTGTATGGCTGGGTTCCCTGACGACACATCGGGCCCGACGGTGCCTCCCAAGACGACAGTAGCCTCTCCTGAGGGCTTTCAACGCCGCACAGCTGCTGGAAAATACCCCGAAGCAAGAGACGCTCTTAGACTCCCTCACACACCTAGTTCGCGGTGCGCACAAGAAGGATAGGGGGAGGGGGGAAGGCTTCTTAGAGAGAGGCTGCTACTAGAAAGCGCTGGCCTAACATCGATTATAGAGATAAGGCCCGCGCCTGCTAAGAACCAGGAGTGTCTCTAAGAAGCCCTCCCACCTCCCCCTACCCTCTTCGAGTGGCTGATCTCGACCCTCGACGCTGGTGGCGAGCGTTCGCCGCCGCCGCCGTCGCCGTCGTCGTCGTCGGGGGGGGCTGCCCAACGTCGAGCCCATACCTCCGACGCCACGTCTTGTTTCCCACAACGGGTCTCAGCGCCCCTCAAACGGGGACTCCACTAACGGGTACTTTGGCCAGTGACCCAGCGAACCCAACCCTTCCCGATGTGGGCAAAGCTGCAATGCAAGAAAAAGGCCCTAAAGTGGCAACTTTCGGCAAAAACTCAAAGTACCCGTTAGTAAGTACCCGTTACGGTGCCGTTGAGGGTCGACGACTCCGCAGGGCCCGGCCTGCACAGGGTGCGGCCTGCACCCCGCACCCTCAGGGGGGGCGGGCGAGGAGGAAAAAGAGGAGGAAGAGGAGGAGGAGGAAGAGGAGGAGGAGGAGGAGGAAGAAGAGGAGGAGGAGGAGGAGGAGGAGGAGGAAGAGGAGGAGGAGGAGGGAGCGGGCGAGGACCTCCGCACAGAGCTCTCCGCCGCGCGCTTCGCGGAGGCCCGACGGAGGCGGCGAGGGCCCCCCCCCAAAGCCCCGACGGCGCCGAGCGCACAAGCACACCCCGGCGCAACCATCACCGGCGGCAGGCGCCAGACGAGGCCCTGGGGGCTCTCCAGCCCCCCTCCCGCGGAGGAGGAGGAGGAGGAGGAGGAGGAGGAGGAGGAGGAAGAGGACTATCTTTTTGGCTATTTTTTTGGGTACGCCTCCTGTAGAGGGCCACGCCCAACTCAATACTGGTACGTCTCTGTGCGTCCCATCGAGTGGTCCGAGAAGCACGGTCGCGCGGGCGCAGCCTGCCCGACGTCGGCGGCGCTAGGGGGGGAGGAGGAGGAGGAGGAGGAGGAGGAGGAGGAGGAGGAGGAGGAGGAGGAGGAGGAGGAGGAGGAGGAGGAGGAGGAGGAGGAGGAGGAGGAGGAGGAGGAGGAGGAGGAGGAGGAAGAGGAGGAGGAGGAGGAGGAGGACTAGAAGAGAAAGGCCTCCTGGTGGTCCCAGGGCCCGAGTCTGCCCACTCGGGGCCTGGGTCGCGAGAGGCGCCCAACGTCGTGCTTCTTGCTCGCGGCGCCGGAGGCCTGCGCCCTGGCTTCGAGCATCCACACCGGGCCCTGCGCTCTGGCCAGGATCTTGAGGCGGATCCCGCCGTGGCGGCGAGGAGTGCGTCCGAACGTCGATGCTCGATCCCTCGCCGCGGTGGCCCCAGAGGTGTGACGCGACGGCGCGCATTCTGGCCCCCAACGGGCGCTCCTCTAAGAGTGCAGGCGTGTGGATGGAGCACGCAGTTCTGCACGAAAGAAGGGAACACCTGTAGAGCAGGCTGTAGAGCCATGCTGCAAGACAACCGAGTTGGGGAGACGGGTGACCAAAACAACGAGTGGGACACGATGGAACAGGTGTCAAAATGGTGGTCCTCTATGGCGCAATCACAGCTTGAGACCACTCGTGTTTCATCGTGCTGTCTCTGGCGACGTCTAGATCCGAGCCTCGGTGGGTCAAGCCACCGAGGCTCGAATCTAGAAGTCGCCAGAGACACGTCCTGGAGCCTGGGGGGAACACACTGCGCAATCACAGTTTGAGAGTTCTTTCGTTTCATCGTGGCGTGCGCTCTAGCCAAGGTTTCGGGGCGAATCCGGCCGTGCCGACGAAGAGGTCCCAGCTGGCATCTCCAGTAGCACCGCGGCCCGCAGTTGCGCTCAACTGCGCGAGGAACGCCAGGGGAAGAGCCACGGAGTTACCGAAGGAACATCGACCCCGTTCGAACCAAACATGGGTCTTATCCTAACGCCTTGACTGAACACCTAGCCGAATCGATGGGGCAGGGAGGGCGGGGGCGGCGGAGCAGCAGGAGTCAGAGTGACAAAATAGTGGTCAGGAGAGGGGTCCCGAAGACTTCTCGATTTCCTCTGGCGCCCTGGGCGCTCCCCTGCCCCCAAGACTGTCAAAAGAGCGACCCACAATGAGAGGCTGGACACAAGGAGTCCTGGGTTCCAGAACCGCGCTTCAACCATGAACACACTCCCGCATGCCAAAAACATGTTGGCACAAGGGAAACCCCTGTTCTTGTTTCCTGGGAGGGGGGGGTAACGCGTGTTATGTGGGGGGGGGGGAAGGGGGGAGGCGATGGTAACGGCGGCCGCCGCGGCGAGTGCTAGCACCAATGCGAGTACTAGTAGTACTAGTATGAGTACGAGTAGCACGAGTAGTACTAGTAGTACTAGCATTATGAGTAGTGCACGTAACTCTAGTAGTGCTGGTAAAACTGGTAATGCTAGTAGCGCGAATCATACGAGTCGTACGAGTAGGGCTAATGGCAGTTGCCGTAGTAGTAGTAGTAGTAGTAGTAGTAGTAGCAGCAGTAGTATTAGTAGTAGTAGTAGTAGTAGTAGCAGCAGTAGTATTAGTAGTAGTAGTAGTAGTAGTAGTAGCAGCAGTAGTAGTAGTAGTAGTAGTAGTAGTAGTAGTAGTAGTAGTAGCAGCAGTAGTAGTAGTAGCAGTAGTAGTAATAGTAGTAGTGATAGTAGTCATACTAATAGAAGTAGCAGTGGTAGTAGTAGTAGTAGTAGTAGTAGTAGTAGTAGTAGTAGCAGTAGTAGTAGTAATAATAGTAGTAGTAGTAGTAGTAATAGTAGTAGTAGTAGTAGTAGTAGTAGTAAAAAGAGTAGTAGTGGTCGTCGTCTTAGTAGTAATAATAGTAATAGTAGTAGTAGTAGTAGTAATAATAGTAGTCGTAGTAGTAATAGTAGTAATACTGGTCGCAGTATTGTCGGTAGTAGTAGTAGTAGTAGTAGTAGTAGTAGCAGTAGTAGTAGTAGTAATAGAAATAAAAGTAGTAACAGCAGCAGCAGCAGTAGTAGTAGTAGCAGTAGTAGTAGTAGTTGCAGTAGTAGTAGTAGTAATAGTAGTAGTAGTAGTAATAATACTGGTAGTAGTGGTGGTATGAGTCGTAGTAGTAGTAGTAGCAGCAGCAGCAGCCGCAACAGTAGCATAAGTAGTAGTAGTAGTAGTACTACTACTCCTAGTAATAGTGGTAGTAGTAGCAATCGTAATCGTAGTAGTACGTCGTTGTTGTAGTAATATTTGGACTACTAGTAGTGGTAGTCGTAGTAGTAGCGGTAGTTGTAAAAATAGCAGCGATCGTACTAATAGTAGTGGTAGTAGTCGTAATAGTAGCAGCAGCAGCGGTAGTAGCAGCAGTAGTAGCAGTAGCAGTAGTAGAAGTAGTAGCAATCGTAATAGCAATGATCGTAAGAGTAGTAGTAGTAGTAGTAGTAGTAGTAGTAGTAGTAGTGGTGGTAGTAGTAGTAATAGTAATACTGCTTGTAGTGGTAATCGTCGTACCAGTAGCAATAATCATAGCAAAACATGTTGGAGTACCGTGGTCGTATTGATAGTAGTCGTGGTAGCAATCGAGTAATAGTAGCAGTAGTAGTAGTAGTTGCTGTAGTAGTAGTAGTAGTAGTAGTAGTAGTAGTAGTAGTAGTGGTAGTAGTAGTAGTAATAGTAGTAGTGGTAGTAGTAGTAGTTGTTGTAGTAGTAGTTGTAGTGGTAGGGTCACACATGGTCTTCGTGCCTGACCACACGCCACCTTCGTGTACTATAGGATGTGAAGCGACAACATCAGACCCCATATTGGATACGCAAAGCAAACATCAATTACACACGACACAATCGTGTCGCTTGCACCACACGTCACCTCCGTGTACTAGTCATCCCTAAGCAAGCATTTCATCAGGGCCTTATCAAGAAAAACAAACAAAAACCTGGCGAAGGACCCAACCATATGCAGCTGCGAGTACCGCACGGATATGAGACGAAGGAGGGGGCACCCAAACTAGGCCCCTCTTCTCATAGGCACCGCGCCACTGGGGCCTTCGGTGGAGCTCCCTATGGGGCCACGAAGCGTGTGAAGGGTGCGCCGAAATGGGTGGTGGGGAGGCATGCGGACCCTGCCATTGGGGCCTTCGGTGGAGCTCCCTATGGGGCCACGAAACGTGTGAGGGGTGTGCCGAAATGGGTGGTGGGGAGGCATGCGAACCCAGCCACTGGGGCCTTCGGTGGAGCTCCCTATGGGGCCACGAAACGTGTGAGGGGTGTGCCGAAATGGGTGGTGGGGAGCCACTGGTGCCTTCGGTGGAGCTCCCTGTGGGCCACGAAGCGTGTGAGGGGTGTGCCGAACATGCGTGGGGCTCCCTATGGGGCCACGAAACCGAACGGTGCCATTGGGGCCATGGTGCCATTGGGGCCTTCGGT